GCATTTACAATTAATAGGAAATAATTATAGTCCAATTTAAACAAAAATTAAATCGAATATCCTTACCTATTGACGCCTTTATCCTTAGAGTATTTAACCAATAAATAGGTACCTACTCTAAGCCTTATAACACTTTTCTAATGTATCATAAATAATCACTTCAAGCAATATAACATTTAGTTACAATATTCTAGCATACTTCCCTACATTTAAACTGAAAAATAATAATAAAACCTCAAATTTCAAAGAAACGATAAATACAAGATTCAAAGAAATATCGTCCGCATATTCCTCGTTAAATGTTTGCGAAACATAAAAGGATAAATAAAGTAAAACCCGCGACGTTCTGCCAAGATTCCGATGGCAGAAAGAATTCTTCATATACCGTGAAACCGGGGAAATTCTATAGCTTGGTATTTCAACTGCTTGGGAAACTACTTTCATCCCGATCCTACATTTTATTTAGATATAGAAGTAGCTACAATCACACATAATTTTCATAGAATTTAAAATTTAAATCGTGCAGTCTCATTCTGGTAGGTAGTAAGTAAGTTGACTAAATTCAAATGCCATTTTTCTTGTTTTAAGTATTTGACTATCCTGTTAGATGAGTAGTCGCAAACACGACTGCCGTGTAAGGGATCTCGTCTCGGTTTTATTTAAATCATCATCATCATAAACAGCCGAAAGACATCAACTACTAGAACAAGGCCTCCCTCCTAATATTCCTTAGGTTTTTTGAATGACTGTTCTTAATTGTGGCCGGTAAAATTAATTTCCGCTTACCCATTGTAAACATTAAGGAAAGAGGCGTGTTGAATCCTATAAACCACAGACATATTATATTAATCTATGCTACAAACTATACCGATTATATTCCTAACGATAAAACTATCGCGAAAATATTAATATTGATAAAGTAAAATAAGTACTACAAACGTATCGAGTTGTATGTGGAAGGTATGCATAATATCGTAATCTTAATCGATTTGACATGGTCCATTGAATCGATACTGCTTACTAGGTACTTAGGTATCGCTAACAACCAATCAAGCGTTACATTAATTAGGTACCTACATGGATTGTTGTATGTGCATTGATAAGATATGCAATAGGCCCGTAGACTCCAGAACGTATATCTCTACTCCTACTCTTCCCACGGATGTCAGAAGAGAAGCTGGCCAAGGGACTGCACATTTATCAGAAACAGGACCTTTAATCTACGATCTCCAACTCGCCTTTTTTACAAAGGTAAAATCACCCCGGGTGAAGCGAGAGGAAGTATCTCTTAATGACAAAAAACCACTACGTTTCCACTCCTGCTTCGAGCAAGCACCCTATATTAACTCGCGTTCGTCTCGCCTCGTCGGAGCCTCCATTTGTTGTGATCTGATGGCTGTTTGAGATCCACGAGTCTTTTAGTCGGCTGTTAGAGCACCAGCGGGAAGGAAAGAGAAAGTTGGCTCTGCCATAACCTACGCAATCTTGCCATTCCTATATAATATCTTAAGTAATAGGTCATAAGTATTGGTCTCAGAAAACAAGAAGTGCATGTTCTACAGCTACACAAATAACAGTAATTCATAACACAATTAATTGCAAAAACCTTGGCTTCAAAATTAGCTAACAATGAATATAAGTCGTTCGTTGCGGTTTCCTGCTCAAAATTATATTTTCACTGACATAAGGCCAACGTAACTTGTAAATGTGAGTAGGGCTGGCTCATTCAGATTTTGTCTTAGCCGACTAAGGAAAAAGGGTTTAAGATCTTTCTAGTTATCAACGCTTCTTTTCTTAGCAGTACCTAATTCCAATTCTTCTTGCAAGTCTTTAGGCCTTAATAACAACATGTCTTTTATTTTATAAAAAGCGTGAAGAAACGTTAAATGCGCTTTGCTCCACTCCTTGGAGACAAACATCGCAAAGCCGAAATCGAACTCGAACCTAGGCACTTTGACAATCCGTGTTTGCGGATTACTCGACCAATATTCTTTAAAGTTCATTAAGTGTCCTCTTTCTGCCGAGTCCCCAAGCGGTCACCGTCGCTGTTGACCGCCCTCCTCTTACTTCATTGTAGACCTTATTTCCGATGTTTAGAGACTACTTTTGTATAAACTGGTTAATTTTCCTAAATCCGCATTACCTTGCTCGTCAAAGGACTAAACTAGGTAAATAATAAAGCATTTTAATTAAAAAAAACTCCGTTCAATAAGCTAGTTTACGTTCGAGTGAGTCATAATCGTAAAAGTAGGTTTTATGTCTATGGTGTATTGTGTTGTCTGTGCTAATATTGTAGTTGCGCGCGCATTTTCGGCGTACATACTAAATATTTAACTTTGAACATACAACGTGTCCAAAAATAAAGTTAGTCAGGAATGAAGCACTCGTTTTTGGGTGTAAGGGTTGGTTGCTATTAATTTATTTATATTGTTAAACTATATTTTATTTATTCTTTTCTAATTTACATAGATCATTAATTTCTGTATGTTGTCTTATGTGTGTAAAACATTGCATTTTGTTTAAGCCGATATAAAGTTCGTTGATTAATGAACTGTCCATGTTGCGTCATTTGACAATGCATGCATTCCATCCTTGACAAAAAATAGGCCTACGAATGACCTACAGATGGTTCTTCCTATCAAAATCAAAATGATTGTGCTAATAATGTCATATTTTAGTGTTAAACATAGGTTATAAAATAAAAAAGCCACTCCCTATTTTTAGCTTCCAAAAATGTTCGCACTCTCCGCTGCATATAAAAGTTACCAAACATAGAAGTAGTGTTTGAGTATGAGTAACATTAAAACCCACTCAGGGCTACGTGACTCATTTGCAAAGAGTATAATAAGTATCTCATTTGAAAGGATACTTCAGTTCGTGATTGAAGTGTCTTTTGAACAAAGTTCTGTTGCAATAGCTAATTTTAGAATGCATGGCACTCCGCACTTCTCTTTTGCGTAGCACGTCAATTAGAGTAGGTCTTGCTTATGTATTTATGGTTTTTAATAGTAATTTATTATTAGAGTTCGTTGCTAATATCTGTGACGTATTGTAGAGGCTGGTGTTCAGACAGACAGACAACCGGGCAGACGGATAGATAGACCTAATAAGGATAGTCGCAAAGATCACTTTTTAGCGACCGATCTAGAAGCTTCTTGAGAAGATATACTATATAGCTGCATACTTTAAGTTTAGCAGTGGCTATCTTGTGATTCCGTTGACGTTCTGTGTTGTAAAGAATAGCGACGATAAAGATTTTGATTTCTACAAATAAATCAAAATTATGTCTTAACAAAAAAGAGTAACGAATTGAGTTTCTTGCTCGTTCTTCTCCATTCGAATCTACATTTTGGAATGAGCTTCCCTGACCGACTGAGTGACAGACTATTATTTATTTTGTATTTGTTGACGTTTCAAAAGTACTTAATTATCGTTTAATTGAAGTAAATGCATTGACTTTGACTTTGAAAAAACAATGAACCACACTATATTTAGTAGACAAGCAAATGATTTTATAGTCTTCCATCTATTCTTATTCGCCCACATAATTCCATGACATTTTTAAGGCCATTTTTTATGATACACATTACATTAGGTATAAGCCACATTTCAACGAAAGGACTATGTATAACAAATATGTAAGTAACGAAAATCTAAAAGTACAATATAAATTCGCAAAATATTCAATTACAAACATTATTCAGAAAAATACAAGCAACACACTATACTTATTTTTTTATTTAAAATCTGTTTAAAATTGTGTCGAGTTGACGCGACAGCCCTGAGAAGTAAGTCGGTTAGTAGGTTCAGTAGAGCGATGCATTCCGTTTCCATGTGGAGTGACGCGTGTACGTATAGTAATGGATAAACAAAACGATACAGGTAGCTATATTGGTCAATAATTAAACTATTTTAATTAGGATTAGAACTTTCTAGGTCTATTTTTAACCACGAAAGAGGTTATCTCGTTGCGTACCTAGGTTTTAGCATTTATTTTTTGTGTGAGATTTATAACTTTTTGTTTTTGCTCAGTTTTCCGATTCCGATAATTCTTTTTTTAAATGTTTTTAAATCCTTTTTCTTTTCGATGTGTTTTATGTGTGTTTATTTAAGTATGGGCTTTGTTTATTTAAGTAAGTAAACTTCGTTTTCCGTTCCGCGTTAGTTTTATTGTCCTATTTATAGAACAATATCAGTCTAATGATAATGAATCTGTTATTCATAATTTTCTATACTTATTGAATTAAATCAAGTGTTGTTTATGCAAAATTCGTGACGTAGATTATAATTATTTCACTCCGACATTTTGGTCTAAAATTTCAAATAGCTATCGGACTACCAACAGATGAGTTAAAATTGGCGCGATCGATTTTGAAAATAGAACCCATTAATATTATATCGATGCTGAATCTAGGTCGTTCTTGAGACTATTAATATTTTTTTCCTGTGCTCAAGTTCAACGACTATTATCCGATAAACAATATGAACGACTAAGAACTGCTAATTTTAAGAGGAAAATGACTAATGAGAGATTCTTCCAAAAGCTGGCTTTATTAAATTATACAATAACAGCTTATACTACTTTAATCGCGTACCTACTTTCGAAAGTACTAAGCCGTTGGTCCGTGTCTGAACGTCTGAATTTTTAATACGATCGAAACCAGTCTGGCTCTTTGCCCCCCACCGCTCACGAAGTTCTTCGCAGTTTTTCAAGCGAACTCTAGTTAACATTGCATTACTTTACTTCAACACAGAGCGAAGGATCACGTCACGGCTCAAAACTGCATTTACCATTTTAAAAACATTCTATTTTACCATAATTTAAAAATCGAACAATGTTTTTGTGAGTCACCAGTGACTAACCAACCAGTATTATTAAAGATTCTCTTTGGTGTTGTGACTTGTGACATATAAATCCTTTTTGGAGAAAGTTGTGCTAGTTTCACGGATCAAAGGACCATTTTTTGTACTTATTGGAGTTTTAATAATGTGTCGTGCAGATACGAGGACGGGGACAGATGGAGCTGGTGATTCTGGGACCCTGGACATGGGAAGCCGGTCGTCATTGCACACCGGTCTTAACATGTCCGAGGACGAGCATTGGGAGATGAACTACCATGAGGCTGCTATTTACTTAGAGGTAAGTGTACTTGTGAACATCATTTAAAACGCTTAGAATTATCTGTTCTCTTTCATTAATTAATGGTCAGAATGTTTCTTGTTTTTCTAAGCAATAAATATTATAATAGACTTAGTTAATAATTCTTTATTACTGTTGAGATATCTAGGTTTTTAATAGTAGCAAAAAAATAAGAGTATAAAATAAACAAAGTACCTAAATATTTTACAATCACAATATATTTTGATTTATTGTTTATATCCGGTGGCTAATTGCCTTGTAATAATAAATTAAGTCAATTAACTAGGTATTTGTTAGTTTCGTAAACTGTATTGCGGTACAGTGATTATATCATGCCAGGAAATTATACATTTTTGGAGCTTTTCTTCAAATTCTCAGAGTGTCTATTGTGTTGCATACAATTTGATGTGCTCATTAACCTGGTTATATGAAGACGGATGCGTTTACGTAGATAGGTAAATTACCTCTTTCGTAAGTTTTTCTTTACCTTTTTCGACAATTGTTTTTTTCTGCCTGCCTCGTTGGCCGTGTGGTCGCAAGTGCGTCTGCCGGGCAAGGGGTATCGGGTTCGATTCTCCGGTCGGGCAACGTACTACTGGGTGTTTTTAAAAGTTCTCGGTAGTAGCACGGAGTCTGGAATTGTGCCCGGTATATGACAATAGGCTCGCCCCATATTAGTGCTTATTTAGTAAAACTAATCAAGGTTCAAAAATCGGTTCAAAATCTCTATTCCATTATTCCACCAAATCGATATGATGTTCCAAGATTCTTCAGTAAGATAAACAACGAAATTTCAATAAATATTGTTCAACAAAACAAACTCATTAATTCGAAAGACACTGATAAATTAGTAAACTAATGAATATTTGTTAATTGACTGGGCGGCGTTACCATGGCAACGTGGCTAACAGCCATCAATAAAATAACCCTGAAAGGTTGAATTCAATACAATACGAAACAAAAGATAATTTCGTAAGGACGTTTCACACTATTGTTTGTAATGCGAAAATAAGTTTTATCCTTAGTTATTTACAGGCTTTATTATTACCTAGGCTACTTTTTGTGGTTTTATATTGAGAATAAACTAATTTAAAATAAACTATGATCACTGTTGCGTACGGATTCGGAGTCGCGGAGAACCTAAAGGAACGGGGTGGTTTTTAGTCAGTAAAAGTCTGATACTCCCTCCCGCCTCACCCAGGCTGGAGCAGTCATTCGATGAATTAACCCCTTAAAAACAATCGCGTACGGATGAAAACGGCAAGCCAAAGTTTGATTTGAGAGGAAGGCTTGCGCGCGTCTCGTCAAGTTTTTCGCTTTTCGTCGGTGACTGCTGGGCATAGCCTGTTACGATTTAATTTAGACGAGATCATGGACAAAATGTACATGCGTTCAGAAGTTGTTGCTAAATGTACAAGATAAATTTTTAATTAATCAATTTTTAATAACATCTATCATCATCAGGGATAGATGATATTCGTTTAATGCAAAGTACCTACTGCTTAATACAAACCAGGATTGTAAAATACTGAAGCTAAAATCTGACCTTATTAGGTGCTATGTGCCACTAAAATATTACAAAATAATATTCTCCTTTTCCAGGAAGGCTTAAATAATGAGAAGTTCGACTCTCATCCGTCGAGTCCTGAAGAGTTGCCAGCGTACCTCAGGGTCCACAATCCATGGTACCATGGTCTGGACCTCCTTGCTTCCTTAGTGCTTATACTCTTAGCTTTTACTGAAGATCCCGCCGTGCCTACATTTGAGGTAATTTTTTTATGAACTACTAAAAAACTGAAATAGAATCATCGCCAAGATTATAATCTTGGTGATTTTAAACTTAAACGCACTCTCACGCAACTATGCACTTGGGCTATGTTTCTCCACCTGGGTGAGGATACTGAATCCCCGATCTCCTCCAAGGTTGGCAATGCACTTAAAACATTCGGTGTTATGGTGTGTCCATGGGTGATGCTGATGATTTACCTAACTTAACACTAATGATGCGTAACACTAATGATGCGTCTGCTAATCACTACATAGTATAAAACAAAGTCGCTCTCCGCCGTCTGTCTGTCCCTATGTATGCTTAGATCTTTAAAACTACGCAACTACGATTTTGATGCGGTTTTTTTAAATAAATAGAGTGATTTTTAAGGAAGATTTATATGTATGATATATGCATACTGCACCCGTACAAAGCTGGGGCGGGTAGCTAGTAAAAAATAAAATGTAAAAGCAAAGAAAACAGTTTGTACTTGATTTGTTCGTCTTTACGACTGAGATGATCGTATACAAACATCCCACTTCCCAGTAACAAATGTCCCGAACTTTCTAATTCCAGTTACCAGTATGGGCGCACGGGACGATAGAACTGTTGGCGCTGACAGTGATTGGCGTAGAGCTGCACTTGAAGCTCAAGTGGATCGGATGGAGCACCATACTCAAACACAAGAGGACAATGATAAAGGTAGGAACGGTTTGTCCAATCATTGTTTGTGTGATATCTCTGTCTTGATTAAGAAGGATTTTGCAATCGGTTTGGATTGCATCGTCAATGAGATTTAGGTACATAGATATTTACATCTTAAGTGTATTTAATAACTCCTAGAATGCCGGTATTTAAGACACAATAGGAAACACATTGTGTAGTGCGTTGATTTTCGTAGTTCCGGGTTAATCCGAAATATTGTCGACGTTTGTCAGGTATTTTTTTTCTTACTTCTCATAGGTACTTAGATACTTGAATATGAGTAATTTGAAGACAGTTTCAAAAGAAACATTAGAAAGCGTACTTCATTTTACTGACTGCCTTAGTACACACGGCTACACATCGAGCTTTACATTACCAGTATAAATAGAACGTTAAATGTGCCGAAAGATGATGCGACGCGATACCAGGATAAACTGGTTTTGTATAGATTGATGTGTGGCCGTGAGTACAATTATAGAATTTGGTATATGGGGATCAAAGTTAAGAATGTCTCTTTGCAATTTGACATCTCCCTGATTTTCTATTAAAACTATGTCTAACATTTATTGTGATCTGCATTTCCTTTTCTCAATTCCAGGGCATTACATTACTCATAATGGTGCTGGAGGCAGTAGTAGTGCTATGCAGACAGTCTTCCCACTTCCGAGTCACCAGAGCACTGCGTCCCATCTTCTTAGTGGACACCAGGCACTGTGGTGGAGTTCGGAGGTTCATCAGGCAGATACTCCAGTCATTACCACCGATCATTGATATGTTAGGTAAGTTTTTTAAAAATTGAGGGTCAATGTTATTGAAGATATTTCGGTTAGTTTTATTGTCTCACTGGTAGAGCGTCCTAAATGCGGTTTGGGCAAGCTTTTATTAATTTTCCGTTCTTCCAATCCAAATTCTCAGTAAAAGTTCTTAAACTGGAAATAAAGTCTGTTCGTACCAACAGGCTTTGTTCCAGTTTGAACTTAACTGTCGAAAAGTAGTAATATTTAATGTTCAATAGAATGATTACAACAATATTGAACAATATGCTTCCCTGCCTACACTTCTGCAGAAAAATAGAGAATTTCTAGTTAAATTTCTCATCCTCCTTTTTTCAGGGTTGTTGATGTTCTTCGTGGCGACGTACTCACTGCTGGGTTACTACCTGTTCTCGGAGCACGTGGACAACGGACACTTCCAGACTATCAGCGACTCCTTCGTCAGCATGTTCGTCCTACTCACCACTGCTAAGTAAGTGGACGCGTTAGTTTTTATGATGCGAAACACCTATGTTTATGTAAAGTGCATTATGTTATCTACGTTGTCAATTTATGTCGGAAAGGACTGTGAATTGATCCCAAAAAACTGTTTATTTCCAGTTTCCCAGATGTCATGATGCCTTCATACGCGAAGTCCAAGTGGTACGCGGTCTTCTTCATCCTGTACATCATCACAGTCCTTTACGTACTCATGAACTTGGTAAGTCTGTAGGAATATTTATCCTTACTAATATTATAAATCGGAAAGTGAGTTTGTTTGTTTGTTCCACTTTTACGCCGTACCTACTAAACCGATTGCTTTGAATTTATGCAGATGTGAAGTTAGAAGTCTGGATTAAATAATAGGGTACTTTTTATCCCGGAAAAATTTGATATTCTCGAGGGAAAACGAAATTATTGGTATAAATGGCGCTGTGTGTATTGGTATATGTCACATAGGCTACTTTTTATCCTTTTGTGACGCGAGCGAAGCCGCGGTTAAAAGCTAGTGTGATCTAAATTTCTGGTCCTTTTGTGGCTTGAAGGACCAATTTTTTTAAAGTTCTTCTTGCTATAATGCGAATACAACCCGGTATTTGGCAATGGTCTCTTTACAGGACTTGTAGGTAGGTTAAAAAAATAGCATTTCTTTGGGACGTTATGCAAATGGAATGCAAAGTGGAAGTAATTAGTTATGGTGTAAAAGATAATTTTAGCGAATATTTGTAATTTGTTTTTAAAATGCGTTGCGCCACATTAGTTAGGATTTTCTCCTGTGCCGTGGGTGCGTTTATAAACATACAAGTTCACATACACATGACATCCAAACCCGGAACAACAATCTGTGAATCACACAAAGAATTGTTCCATGCGGGAATCGAACCCGCGACACGGTGCCCAGCCACCGTACCAATCGTTCAGTCTAAACTATCTTTGCAAATTGACCACTGCAACCGAAATCAGTGAAGATTTAAGAAGCCTGTATTAATTCCCCTTTACTTGTGCCAGATGTTGGCGGTGGTGTACGAGACGTTCACCCGCATCGAGCGCGAGAAGTGCCGCGCGCTGCTGCTGCACCGGCGGCGCGCGGCGCGACACGCCTTCCGACTGCTCGTGTCGCGCCGCGCGCCGCACGCCGTGCGGCTCAGGCACTTCGCGGGGCTCATGCGCCACTACGCACCGCACTACAGTCAGTACAGCCATTGGGGACCTTGCATTGTATCATTTTAATGTAGTGTACACCTCATCATTGTCATGAAACAGCCCGAAAGTGTCCATTGCTGGACTAGTTATGAGCCTCCTCCATAGTGTTGTTAGAAATGAGCTCCGAGGCCGAAACTCGAGTTCCGAGTCGAAGCTACCAAGTCTTCAAGACTCGAGCTTTGAGGGCTCGTAAGCCTTAAAGGCTCGAGCTCTAAAGGCTCGAACCTTGAAGGCTCACTAGCCTTATATGAAGGACTCGAGTCGAAGCTCGAGCTTTATTTATATGCCAGGTAATATTAAAATGAAATATTTTTGTTTTAATGCGGTAAGTACATATAAATAAAATAAAAAGACAGAAAAAAGAAAACTATATTAAACAATGAATTATTATTTGATTTTTAACCATGACGATAAGCACATTGATGCCTGGATGTTTTTGTTGTTCAGACTGTTTCTTTTTTTTGTTATTAAATTACCAGATTTTGAAAAGGCTTGCTCACTAGGAACGCTTGTCGCTGGTATAGATAAAACTTCGAATGCTATATCAGCTAAGGTTGACAACGACAATTCTTTTTGTTTTTTCCACCACATTAATACATTTGTGTTTTCAGGCTCAATAGGCATATTTATGTATCTATCCACTTCAACTGCGATATTTCTAGTCTCCGGTTGCTTGTACACAGATGCAAATAAACTTTTTTTAACTGGGTTAACTTCACTAGAGCTACCTCGTTCATAATTATGTGTTGACAAATTGTCTCCTCTCAATTCTTGTATATTTTGATCTTTGAGCTGAGGGTTTTTAAGTTGAGTAATGGTTGAGTATTGTTCTTTGCTATAAAATAATTGTTATTAAGTCGCGGGTCTAATAGAACGGCAAGTTGTGCCAAATCATTGTTTAAAATCTCAGAGTACTCATTCAATTTTTCGATCATGGCTGTCGCACAATTTTTCATTGTTCCATCTTCTTGTTTGTTAAGATGCTCTGTTAAAACATCAAGTATCGGCACCACATAGTACAAACTTGGATAATTGTGTTTTGAAAGCATAACAGTAGCTTCGTAAAATGGTTGAAGAAAATCTACCAATGCTTCTACGATCTCCCAATTTTCTATAGTGTATGGAGAAAATTCTGTGTATTCCAAACACATATAATTAAGTACTCTTTTCATTTTTAAAGCTCTTTCCAACATCATATAAGTAGAGTTCCACCGGATAGGCATTTCTTTTATCAAGTTGAGATGAGAAATGCTTAAGGCGGTACAACATTCCTCATATAATTGTTTTTTCTTAGCAGAAAAAGTTATAAATTTTACTATTTTTTGTACCGGCACAATAATTTCTTTCGCTTCTTCTACACCTTTCTTTACTACCAGATTTAATACATGAGCCATGCATCTTAAATGAGTAATATCCTTAAATTCTTCATTAAACAAAGTTAGCAGTTGAAGCGTTTTAATATTTGTTGCATCGTTATCTGTTGTAATTGAAATTAATTTACCTTGCAAGCCAAATTCCTGAACAATGCTTTTTACTATCTGTCAAACACCAAGCAGTCACCGGTGACCGCGACCTATTGTTCTTTAATTGTGTCTATAAAACCGGTACTCGACGAGTTAAAAACAATTTGCTCGCTTTTGTGAGGAAACAGTATGAGATCAAATTCCAAAGTCATAGAATCCCCCAATATTAGATGTGTAGTGGGCAGTTACAACTATATATGGTTTGTTGGTTATAGATGTCCAAAAATCAAATGTCAAAGCGATCTTCTGCTTCAAGTTTTTGAACATATTTATTATTTGTTGCTTTTTCTCTTTGTATAATTCTTGTATGGAAGATGTAATTTGAAATCTACTTGGTAAACGATACGTATTATTAAGTGCTGATAAAAATGATTGAAACTCCTGTTCTTCTACTATTCGGAAAGGATGCTGGCCTTGTATAATAAACTTTATCAAAAGGTCATTAATGTCCACTTGTTGATTTTTATGTTTTAAGGACCCAGCCTTTTCGTTTTGTTCACTCTGTATAAAATCAACATCACCATGGTGCGATTGATGCCTTTTCAAAATGGAGTGCGATGTTTTTATAGAAAATGTATGACGGCATACCTTGCACAACAATTTGTTGGATTCTTTCTTAAAATGACACCATTTCCAACTAATACGCGGCTTTTTCAACAACATAGAAGATATGAAAGCATTATTTTCTGTAAGCGAAGTATCAGTAGTATCAAACTCGATATCTTCCGATGTTATATTATCTTCTTCGTTCATTTTGTAGATCTAACGATCTTTCACCAGTGACAACTATTATAAAAACTATATTATTAATTATAAACCAAGCAAACTGCACACTGATTTTGACGCGAATGACGTATAGAAGTAATTATTACAATAATATTAATAGTTACGTGGGTAGTTTTAATAACTAGCGTAATATCGCTAGCTGAATTATCGCGTTATTGTAATAAAAATTTGTGTTATAATTTAGTTTTATACAATGAAATTAGTTAATTTTAATTACGTATTTATTACATTTATTTTGGAGCAATGTTGTGTAGTGAGACTTTAAAACAGAGCTCGAGTCGCGACTCGAGCCTCGGAACTAGGGTTCGAGACTGGGCTTGAGCCTTCGAAGTAAAGCTCGAGGCTGCAGCTCGAGCCTTCATAGGAGGCTCGAGCCTTGAATGAGTCGAAGACTCGGGAGACTCGAGTCTTTTAACAACACTACTCCTCCATAAAGGAGGGGTTTGCACTAATATCCATGTTATATATTACCTAAATTCAATTTCTCTTTTATTAATGAGGTTCAAAATTATTGTATACTTCAGAGGAAGTACGAGTTTGTTTCGGCGCTCTCATTGGTTGGTTCAGTGGCACCGCCCAATCAGAGCGCCAACCGATGTCTCTGATGACGTTTACGTCGCGTCGTCTTATTTCTGCAACAGTTTCTACCGGCCCATTCCAGCTGTTTAATCTTTTGAGCTGTGTCAATAACTTTGTCAGATCACCTAGTTGCGACTTGGTTAAAGCGACGATAGCGTACTGCCCAATAATTGAATACTAAGCGCTGAAGATCACAAGCGTCTTCTGCAGGACTCCATATTAACACCTAATCCCCTTTTTCGCGCAGGTGGCCTGGACGTGTACCTAATGTTCAAGCAGTTGAACCAGTCATCATCAGGCGGTCTGTCCCGCAGTGAGTTCTCCAACCTGTACGAGGTGTTTGCCCTGCGCTGGGCGGGTCAGCAGTCGCGGGCGCCGTGGTACTCGCAGTCTCCACTAGAACCGCTCGGCAGGGCTGCGGCGGCCGCTGTACGGTGGCCGTACTTCGAGTATCTTATCTGTAAGTTTTTTGGGAATGTTCGAGGATGGTATACTAACAAAATTACTTAACGGGTTACCGGGGCTCCGGCTCGAAGTGCAGGAGTAGGAATGGAGTGGTTTTTAGTCAGTAAGAGTCTGATACTTCCTCCCGCCTCACCCAGGTGGGAGCAGTCGTTAGATGATTTTCAACCCTTAAAAAAAATAAAAAAAAAAACGATATTATGATATTTAAGGTGCTTGTTGGAGAATGTGAAGGACATATTATTATAATACACAACATAACATGCATGCATAGGCAGAGGTGCACATTACGGCAGTAAACGCCACTACAATGTAACACCCACTTTTCACTATTTATGTTATGAGTCCAATATAATAGGGGGTGAGTCTATAGCCATATACCGGGCACGATTCTAGACTCCGTGCTACTACTGGGAAAATGTGAAGGAAGACTAAAAACAATGACCGCTTCCTTTATGGCACATGGTACAGATGGCAAACAGACTGATCACCTGGTGGTAATCAATCGTAGCTAACCATGGACATCCGCAATACCATAGGCGTTACTAGTGCGTTGTCGACCTCGTGGAAGTTTTGAGGATTGGGAGTTGGGGATGGGCCAATGCCCGGCAAAGTCATGACAGAATTTCATGTTTGCCATTCTTATTCTGTTCTTCCTGTTCGTCTGTCTGTCAATAGGGTACATACCTAATTTTTATTTTAATGTCCGTCTGGTAGATTTTTTAAAATCATTAGACACGTATTTTTTTATTTTATTACAGAAACCAATACTTTCGACGATATATTGATTTGAAATGTTGCGTGACGTCACTTTTATGTACATTTTATACGTAGAAATGACGTATTAGCTCCCACTCCTAAACTTTGATTCGTTTTATCTAAGTATATTGTTTTATTATACGACAAAATAAAAAAAATATATGTCTAATATTTTTTAATTCCCTAACTTACGGATTAATTAGATTTTTAATTTTCATCTCAATTACTAGATTTTTTTTCATTATAATCTATTAATCTTAATATTGAGGTATGAGGTAATCCTCATATATGTTTGTTCCAGATGCCCTGATAGTGGGTAACGGTCTGGCGATGGTGCTCCGTGTCTGCGAGGCGGCCGGGGACCTGCAGGACAGTGCGCGACTACTCTGTGCGTCATGGGACACCTGGCTCTTCCTTACTTGTGAGTTCTGAATTGAATTATTTCATAAACTGGCTTTAGGGCTGACGACCTCAAGTATTCGTAGCATTCGTGGCTCGTATTATATCGTCCCCCATGGCGTTCAATGTGTTGAAAACCTACGTACTTTAGGAGATGCCATTTTAAATTATGTTTTAATTTTCTATTTATTTATTTATAATTTGGACTACCATTAATTGCTACATTAGGTCTTATATCTAAGCACTTACAATACATATTTATTTATATAGTATACCAAGTGTCTAAAAATAGAGAGGATTTTGGTCTGTTTAAGGCCTTGCCTGGCCTGGCCTTGTCTGGCCTAGCCTGTCTGCCTGCCTGTCCTGGCCTATTATTTAGCTCATCGCTTTTCACACGGCTGTAATTACCACCAACTTCTAATTTTGTCTTCTTTCCCCCAGTATTCCTCCTAGAAGCAGCTCTGCGTATGATGGCATCAGGTCTGGCAGTGTACCTGGAGAGTGGATGGAACGTGTTCGACCTAAGCGTCACGCTACTGGCTCTCATGGGGGCCGTGCTGCTCAGCATCGCGCCCAAACTATTCATTGTTGTTATATTTAGACCTTTGAGGTAAGTAATGCATTATTGAACAATTTCGTTTTTTTGAAGAGCATCTTGAAGGCCCCAGTGAATAGTTTGCTTATGGGCAGCCGTGCTTCATCGTAGACCGCATCATCGTTTACCACCAGTCGATATCTGACAACACGGTTGGTGCAGTCAGTGGTTGGGCAACCGGCTGCCGCGCAATGTGTTGCGGGTTCAATTCCCGCACGGAGCAACTCTTTGTGTGATCCTCAAATTGTTGTTCCGGGTTTGGATGTCATGTGTATGTGAACTTGTAAACGCACCCACGACACAGGAGAAATTCCTAAAGCGGGATAACGTTTTTAAAAAAATAAATAATCTAATATAAAAAATGAACTAGCCTAATTAAGAACATTCTTCTTTTTGGGAAGTCGGTTAAAATGAACTTTGATGGTCGTTATTTGAATTTTCTTTTTCATTTTTATTTCAATAATCTTTCATAATCGTTTACAACTATAATTCCAGATTAATGCGTCTCTACAAATTGAAGAAGCGTTACCGCGATGTGTTCGGTACCCTGGTCCTCCTGTCCCCCCTGATGTCTTCAGCTGGGTGTGTGATGCTGGTCATGTATTACTTCTTCGCTATCATCGGCATGGAACTGTTCGCTGGCTACGATCTTAGGAATTGCTGCGTGTAAGTACCCAATTTTTTAGGGGATAAGGAGATATGCTCTATTCCATTCGGTGAGTCGGTATACGGTACACCTGATGGTAAGCAATCAAATCAGCGTCGTCCATGGAAATATGTTACATCAGAGAAGTTACAGCTTTTTGGGCTTTTGTTGACATCATTCACATGTCGAAATACACTGGATTTTTGTGAGGACGTGGTATCACTCCGATTGAGCAGATTCATTCATACTGATATTGTCTGCGTAAGCGATTCATTTTTTGTTGAATTCCTTTCTTCCACAGATTATAGGTGACCTAGATGTTGTATTTACAAGCAAGTATGTCTTAACATCTTCCATCTTCCTAACCGCTATTTTACCTCATTCCAGCAACACAACAGTAGAGGACTTCTACAAGTACTCCCTAAACAGCTCGACGGCACTCGGCTACTACTACCTGAACAACTTCGAGAATATTGTCACCAGCGGAGTCACACTCTTCGAGCTGACAGTAGTCAACAACTGGTTCATACTCATGAACGCATACGCCACCGTCGCTGGACAGTTCAGTAGGATCTACTTCATGGTAAGTTATCTTGTTATTTGTCATCAGCTGCTCCTGCTTCTTGTGGGTCTCGTTACAACTGATTAAGGGACATTGGACAACAACGCTCTCTGATAAACCTGAACCTTTTTAACTACGGTTAACGAACACCGTCGATTGGAACTGGTCAGCTCCAGACTGTATCATTTTATTATCCTCAAGGTTATTTTCTTTTTCAGTCTTTCTGACTGGATTTAGGTGTTGCATTGTTCTCACATAATCGAACCAATAATACTATGTAACTAGAGAATTGTAATGTAAACCTGATTGAAAAAGAGTAACCTATGGAGTTTCTTGCTCGTTCTTCTCCATAGGAATCTACGCCTTGGAATGAGCAACTAGCTTCACTTATAAATTTTTGTTGTTTGACGTTCAAAAGTGCCATCCTGGTCTAATTGAAATAAATGATTTTTGACTTTGACTTTTACGATCTCTGATCCCCTTGCCAAGTGATGAGATTTTAGCAAACCCTCTTATGCAGATCAGGCCAATAGTCTAGCCTCAGTAGTAGATTGTCAATTGTCATAGCCTATTATAAAACTCTGGATCTTCTTTCCAGGTAAAATAAAATGGAGTTTAGGACAATCACAAGAGTAGGGCATTTATAATCTAGTACTTAGTGTCATCATATATTCTCGTCTTGTTTCCAGGTGTTCTACCTGTTCACGATGGTGGTGCTGACGATAGTGGTGGCCAGTGTGTTGGAGGCATTCCGGTTCCGGATACAGTACAAACGAAGCACTACTAAGAGAGACGGTGAGACCCTTTTGCTATAGTTTGTGAAAAAATGGTAGCATAGAAGGTTCTTCTGTGTTTGTGCTCATATGACAGGAGAAAGTTTCAATGTTGAGCTTTGTTTTTTCAATGAAAAGCGTTGTTTAGATGAAAAAAGTACAATTGAAAGTAAGTTTTAGAAAACAGGGTGTAGTGTTGGTGCCTAACAGCCAGTTTCAATAACCAATAATGAGCTCCATACAAAATGTGTCAAAATTCTATCTCTAGTAAGCAAATCTACAGATAGTTAAGGATTCTTCCACCAGTTTATATATATAGGTATATACAGTCACAGTACCGTAATGCATTACCGTCTCTTGGCTTATTGTATGCATCCTAATTCTCTTATTTTGATCTTCAGAGGAGAAACTCCTTCACGAGGAAGTGCACACGAGTTGGGAGGAGGCTCAGAGGTTAGGGGCCAGTGGTGACTTAGCGGATGAGCTGAGGCCAAACCTACCACCTGGGGTAAGTTTTTTTTTTACTTTCTTCAATGCCAATATACGAAAGTCTTCTTTTATTTTAATGATAAGAGCCATTTTGATATTCCTCTGTCAGATTCTGTTTATAACTCTTAATAGAGAACAGCTCTAAGGGTTGTCGTTCGCAGTTAACCATTTTTATGTTAAATATTTTATTTGAATACTGGCTCAATAACTAATGTTGTTTTACAGGTGGAGGTAACATTCATCGGATCCCGACCTCGTACGAAGGAGGTGCTGCAGAGAAGAATGTACCAGACTGACATACAGAAGTGGCTGGCGGAAGAAGATGAGAATGAAGGTATTATATAGAATAGCAGCACGGATTCCAATCTACCAAATAGATTTTGAACTCTATCACTTATAGTAGTAAAGTCGAGAATCGATTGTAGTAGATAGGTTTACTGCTCTATATAAGAATTTTTCATATCCCCAGGTGTCCCACCCTCAACAACGATAACATCAAGCGAGGACCCCCTGGCCCCGCCTCTCATCCACCAGCCAGATAGTGAGAACAACCACCAGATGAGAACAGGTTACCAATTGTAGAACATAATTCACTTAGCGCTGTACCACAGGCTAATGTTCTTCTGGGACGCAATCAAGAGCTTATGATGGACTCTCTGAAGATGGGCCCTCAGCTGGCTACAAGCTTGACCACGGGTACAGGACGCTGGCTAAACAAAATTGCCAGATAAAAAAAAAACTTTCGTTTGGTTAGAAAAGGAATTGACAGTTGACAGCTTTCCAGGATTTGACGTTTAACTTGACGCAGTGATTTGTTTGTGAACGTATCCGAACTATTCCATAGATAATAGTTTTTACTTTTAATCGAGCAAAGGAATTTTGTACAGTTTACCTACAGCAGAACAAATGGAATACCAAAGATTCCATTTTTTATTATTAAGTGTGTAATTGTGCGTACTCCAAAATGTTGTTTAAGAGGTTATGTAGAGATTCTGTGTAGATTGCGTACCTTTCGCAGTTAGATGCCCTTACCCGCCAGCTACTAATACTCTGCCAGTTAGGACATTAATCGAGTAGAGTGAATGTATACTAAAATAATAATTATAATATATTCTGAGAGTTAGTTTAACAACTGTGATAGAATTTTATGAAATTAAAAGAGGGTGTATTCGATTGTACAGGCAGTTGTATAGAAAGACTAGATAAATTCATTAATCATGTAAGTAGTCTAGACAGTTAGATATGAAGCTTATTGAAAATCGTAGAAATGGCAGCTTTAATATATGCCTCTCACTCTTATGTATTGTTGTGAGTGAGAAGCAGATAGTGGACACAGATTATAATGAATTATAGATAATAAATATCAATTTGACTGTTGATAAGCTGATCTAAACAAGCTGTAATTTTTTTTTATACAATCAATTAGAAAATTAGTACAACAAAGCATAATTTTGTAAAGTAGGTACATAATGGGTTTAGTTGATTACTGTAATAAGAATAATTGATCTTCTATAATAAGATTAATTTACATTAATTTTGGTTTTGTTATCTAACAGTTCAATTTTATAAAGATAAAAAACATGATGATATTATTAAATGAATCGCCTTCGTAGGTTAGGTAAAATTAAAAAAAAAGTATTTAAATGGTCAACTCATAAAAATTAGGAAATGTATGTAGATGTTTCGATATGAAAAATAATATTGCAGAAAATTCTCGAATAAATTTTAAAATAATTGGCAAAAAATACTGTTATTGAATGATTTACGAAATCACACTTATCATTGTTAAATAATTCTTAGCATGGAGTGTAGTGGTAAGAAGTGCAATCTTTTGACGATACAAACTAAAAAAGGTTCCATCGTAATGTATTAAATGGGTTGTTTAATGTTACTTTACGAATTAATTGGCAAATTAATAAAATAAATAATAATAAATGCAAAATTGATCTTAGCAAAAGTTTCTTACAGATTTTTACACAAAGATCGTTCTCCTTATCTCTATACTCCATGGTACCTTGTCTACAATCAACAAAGTACCCACTTGCCAAAGAGGTTTGACGCCATATTGTTTAGTGTTGCCATTTCGTAACAGATTTACAACAGGAGGACAGATTCGTCTTATCCTGATTCAAGATAATTCTTCCAATATTGTGTAAATAAGTTTAAACTTATAATTTATACATGATTTAAAGTTACAGATTTTGTTGTCAATCTAACATTTTATTCATTTAGATTTTTTTTGCCAACATTGTTTGGAGTTGTATATAAAATAGTAGATAAATAGTCATTATATTGTGATAACTACTTTAAATATGGACCATTGTATCGAATTATTTACACGCTTTATTTATTTAATTTACTTTTAACCAAATATTTTGTGATTCCCCTTTATTTTGGCTGCTCAGTATTAATTTTTGATGTGAATTGAATATTTGTTTACTTATAAAAATGTTAATTTTTATTCTAATTTATTATTTTTAGTAAATAAAAAACGTTTAAGCCCGTTTTTGTTGAATATTAAATCTATTTTGTATTTCTAAGTACCCCAATAACAATTTTAATGAGAGTGTGTATTGAATGTGTAGCTATAGAGATCCAACAGTCTACAATAAACCTATTTAGAAACAATAGTAATTAATGGCCATTAAATAATAATAAAATCCTAATCAAACAGTAGCTAAAACCGAATTTGCGATTTTAATAAATGTTTTCAAATAAATAAATGACTTAATAGACTTGCATCTAAAATAAATTGCAAATGAACTTAAAAGTCTTATATCGTCTTCGCCTTAGTAAATAAATAAACCTGTAAATACTATGGAAATGTTACCTGTTACATTATAATGTAAGTTTAGATCAACATTGTATTAATTATTGTTCTTGAAAAAAGTTACATTTGAATTTCTTAAAATAGACTCTTAGACTAGAATCTAGAACCAATTTCCGTGCAAGTTAATTCGGCCTCCCTTTTGAGTGTGCAGAAAAGTCAGTATTTTTCATAAACGAACTTTTTTTGCAACTTGTACCTTTCTTTCACATTTGACAGATAGAATAGATATATCGTTAGCTTTCTGAGCTCCTAGATGCCCCTAATGTAGCCTAAGGTCCGGTTTGTTCAATGAGAATAACCTAGTATCGAACCATTCACCACCGGCCCAATAGGGCCTCATCCGCGGCTGATACCGACACGGAGCCGAGGAGAGCGTAAAAGGTTACTGGGACTCTGGTTCGACGTGCAAGAGTAAGGAGGTGGTTTTAGTCAGTCAGAGTCTGATACTCTCTCCCGTCTCACCCAGGCAAGGCAAATAATTCAATGGTTTTCCTCCTTGAAACAAATATCGAGCCCTTAGAGATTACAATTTTGGCAGCTATAGTGATTTTTTTTTTATGGAATTGGAGGCAAACGAGCAGACGGATCACCTGATGGTAAGCGATCAGATGATTTAAGATCAAATTTATGATTGGATACAGAACATGTTTTCCCGCCTTGCGTGATGCGAGAGGGCATCAGTCTCTTACTGACTTAAGACTAAATATCATACTGTTCCTACTGTTGCTTCGAGCCGGAGCCCCGGTAACCTGCTAGATAGACAAACAGGCTTTGCGTTACATTTGAGCCATCTGGTAGGCAAGGTAACTTTTATTGAAACGCATTGTTTATGGTATGAATAAGTGACAGAAGTATGATATTAATGGTGCTTACGCTTGTATGTCCTATTTCGGAGGTAGACAGACTATCAAATAGCATAATAATTAGATATAGGAGTTAACCCCCGAAAATACATGATTATTAATAAACAAAAGCTATTTATTTTGTGATCTTCCTAATTTCTAAACGTTTTAAAAATGAAGACAGTCTTATTATTTGATTGTTTAACTATAAAAGTAAAATTATGCAGCTATATTTTTCTTTTTTTATATTGTTCTATGAAGGCCCCAATAAATATACAGCCAGTATTCATTTCAAATTCCAGTTTCATTTTTTTATCCAGGTATAACTAAAAAGGCTTGATGATAATATTTAATATTTTCAACTTTATTTCAATGGCATTAGGTTTAAAATCTATTTGTTTAACGACTAAGTAATTAAATCAAAAATAAGGCCAGTCAATACTTTAGAGAATGATTAGAAATTAGGAAAGCATAGATGTACTCAATAAATTTGATTTTACTAGCATTATATACCTATTTCTTTCAAATTATTTAAGACACTAAATTTTACATATTTTTTATATTGGAATATAATTTACCTTCCAATTTCAATCAAGACAGTTTTATATGTAAAAATGGATTGTTTGAAAGTGTGAATATGATTCGAATGTAGACACCAGCACATTAAGCTACCCTAATTTGTAAATGTATTTTCAACTTTAAATCATTTTACAATAAGGTATAAAGTCTATTAAAGAAGATGTATAGCAGTATTAAACGTTGATTTCGCGTCACAAGCTTAGTAATTTAATAGAATCACTTTGTTGACATGCAAGTGTAGTTGTAAAGATGTGTTAATTTATTCATAAATAAATGCACTTTTAAGTACATGTAAAGCTTTTTATTTTTTATCAACATGTTTATGAGTTAAGACTAAGTAATAGTGAGTGTTTGTGATAATTATCTAAGGGGTATATATAAAATAAAAAAAGAAATAATATTCAAACATTTTATTCTGTTTCCAAAATTACTAAACTTTTTATTTATTCAACTTTTCTAAAATACAATTTTCATTATTTTATTCAGCACCAATTAACACTAAATTATTGAGCGCGACAATATAAACACGTACCTACTTAAATATAATAAAATAAACTATTTTGAGACAATAATACCCAAGACAGTAATCTTTGATATTATAGGAATGTCCTATTTTGAGAAAATGTCGCTAAATAATTTTTCCAAAAAACTTATTAGGAAAACGCGGGAAATATTTTTTACAGGTAGCAACACTGGCTCCGAACCACAGAGGTTTACTAACATGAATGTCTGGGAGACATGTGAAGCGGTTTATGTTAGTTTTTATCACAAATACATTGGAATAATTACAAAATAAGGAATAAGCAGTCTCGTGGAAGACATACGAATGATATAGGTACAGTATTTTTACAATATCCATTGCACACTGAGAAATATCATAAAATTACATGAGACTTTACAAATAATTTACTCATCTAAATATCCATAGAGATGTGTGCAATTTTATAATAATCAGACTATTATTATGTTTTCACAAAATCATAATTTCTATCTACAATAACTGCTGCAATGAATAAAATAATTTTAGAAAGGAATACTTCATGATTTTTTACGCACGCATACTGCGATGAAAAAATCAAGCGAAACTTTGAACAATTGTTTCTATTTCCCTACTGCCACTTACAAATAACAACGAACATCATTATTTAAATTATTATTCGATTTTTATTTACACAAACCATATTCATTCTAAATGTATAATAATAAGGACATTTATAGCAAATATTCAGAAATAACCACTCACGAGTGAATAGTACTTTGTGGTCTCAAAGTGTTGCATACTAAATGAAGCATATATTTACGACTTCAGAGCGGTACTTAATTTATAATTCAAATATTAAGTATTTAACGTAACGCTCCGCCTGTTACTAATTCAAAGACTTCACTAGTTCTTTAATGGATCCCAAGTATAATTCCGGGCTACATGATGGTAACAGATAATTCATTCACAAGCCAAAATGAAGTCAATTAAAACCCACGTGATTTGCGACCACAAAATACTAATAACTCAAAACACCCGTAATAAATTATGAAGAAAAAAGGTGGGTACACTATAGAGAAATTAAACTAATAATATAATAATTATTAATATAATTCTATAATAAATATAATAATGATAATAATATCATTTAAAATCATAATTAAATTAAATATTGGAACTGACTGCCTCATTGGCCGAGTGGTCGCAAGTGCGACTGCCGGGCAAGGGGTCTCGGGTTCGATTCCCGGGTCGGGCAAAGTATTACTGGGGTTTTTTAAAAATCTCAGTAGTAGCACGGAGTCTGGAAATGTGCCCGGTATATGGCAATAGGCTCACCCCCTATTACATGGGACTCATAACATAAATAGTGAAAAGTGGGTGTTACTTCTATGTGCACCTCTGCCTACCCCTTCGGGGATAAAAAGGCGTGATGTTATGTTGTATGTGTGTATTGGAACTGAATATTTCGACATTGAGTCAAAATTGCCACAAACTGGGAAATGCGTGATTCACTTGTGAGAATCAAACCATAGACGTAAATTGTTAAATTCCTTTTTAGAACATGCATTTTATAAATCATGTAACGTTTCATCACTCTAACATGCAAGTATTCTTTGCGTAATATTCCTTTGTTTTTGATACTTTAAATTCGTACCGGGCAAAACCCTGATATCCAAATAAGCCTTGATCAGTAAAAAAAATATCATAGATTCACTGGTGTAAAACATTTGATGACATTTGCAGTGACAATTTTGACGTATTCATTAAATAATTACGTATTGTACTGTTTTAAGTATAAATATACAACCAGTTTATAAGTATTGATTACATAACAGTATTGTCTATAAGACATATAATCGCTTGAATCTTGTAAGAAGATCAAATGCAAGATGGCAAGCCTTTGTAGATGTCTTTTGTAGCCTTGAAATTGCGCGACAGTTGCTACAATAGTGGCGCAACTGTGGCGCAACTTTAGCAACGATATATTTTACAAAGACCCTAAAGAAGTTTCCGAGGTAGAAAATATTATACGAATAGTTTACACAGACCTTTTATACGACAGTAGTCATAGCACATGCTTCCCAATAGAAAATATTACAGGAAAGACATGTCCATTCATCCATTATACACTTCACTCTCAACATATCGAGTTTGTAAACTCAGCATTGAATTAAATATTAATTCTATAGAAAAGCCTTTTCATTGATTCAAAGATATTATCATTTGAATCTACAAAAGAGATTACATCATGAGGTTTTACAGTCACTCATTGCACTTATCGGACACCAAACCCACATCCCGAGCTAACGCTGCCCATCCATAATACTGTAGTTGTATTGTGACTACATTTAACGTACCCAGGTACATAATTCGACACAGACCATATCCCTCCCCCGTCCAAAGACAGTTCATCACTTTGCTTAATAAGCAATATCTTTAAAAACTGTCTCAATATACACTAAAACTCCTAGTACCCACGTGTATACTAATTATTTGTAGTCAGAATAAGCAGGTGTGGCACGATAAATCTTTGATAAGTCGCGCGATAGTTGGGCGACTTGTCGTGCGACACTTGTTTGTTTTGATTTAAATAATGTAGCATAGAAGTTGTGACCGTGGCTATGAGAGGCGCGGGCGTTTGCCTGGCGCTCGACGTCACATCTCGATGGAGACGCCGGGCCCGCCCAGCCGAGTCTCTTTTACACGGAACCCGTTCTCCAAGAGTTGACCGCAAAGGGAATCCACCACGGAACGCGGCGTTGATGGAGGTATCAGTACCATCGCATATCTGAAACAAAAAAGAAAATTTTGTTAGACCTTCAAAGTCAAAACCGTAATAAATTACACATAGCCAACACAAACTGTTCGGGTAGCTTTTGAGTTTCTTATACAGACAGAAAAGGACTTAATTTTTATTATATGTTAGTATTTTAAACAATTAATCAGTAAATCATTTTTTTACACGTCTGAATAATTTTCTAGTAATTATGTAGGTAAGTATTAAATATTTAATTGTGTAGGTAAGTAGTTACATCATTCTTTTACAGTTAATTTACAATTTATTACTATTTACTACTTACTACGCTTTAGCACTTAAAATTAAATGTTAATTACTAATTCAATGTTATGGTTTCTTGTTCTTCAATTGCCATTACACTTGTAGAACCATAACAACAATTTTATTGTTCATTTAATATTAATACAAAAAGTTACTTAACATAAAGCGGATTTAAAAATCTTAAAACATATTACCTATGTCATTCAAATCAATAGTTCACAACAATCACCACTACATTATAGGTCTCCTCTCCTTAACGAGGTTTGCCATAGTTTTAAAAATACCAACCCGCCTGAGCAAACAAGGCGATAAATGCTCAAGCCTATGCTCAGAAGTGGACACTTATAGGCTGTGTGATGAAGACGATGTGCCATAATTTTCAGTCTTAGCAAGTTAGTTAAAAAATTTTGTGGGTTCACGTTTATCAGATGGCATTACTACCCAGTTTCTGTTAAATATGTTCCCTTACGCCTGAATACTGAAACGCTACTCAATACTTAACTATAGTTCTGTCACAACAAATTCTTTGTAAAATGACACGAGATGGCACGATATTTAAGTACTACATAAAACTGAGTAGCCTTTCAGTATTCGGTTGTGAATCGACTCTTACGGAAACCACACGGGTAAGAAGGTTGATATGTTGACAAATATTTCTATTCTATATACATACTGTTACCCGACGAAAATCAACTAAATGCGTTCAATCAGTGACGTTTCACTAGTATAATCTGTATTATCGACAACACTAGCTGTCATATTGAAGATGTCATCTGTCAAATGTGACAGATTAGTAAAGTTTCCCGCGCAAAGAGTTGTAACGGTCTATTCTGGTGGGAAGTTTGACGAGCATCACGCTGTGTTCATATAAGAATCCGTTTAGAATAAACTTTTCAATATTCAAGTATAAATAAACATACATAAACTTATGCCTGTCTCTCACTGTAGGCAGAGACTATGGAACTTCAATTGCTACGATTCTTACACACCTTTTTCGCTTTATCAACATTGATCAGTGTTCTATTATTATTAGTATTCTATTCTGATACAACAAATACATCTAAACATGTTATATTGGGCTCGCTGCCATTGCAGCGGTAAGTCCCCTCTTTGAGGAGTGGCTTGAGAGACGCTACGGCGTCCTCACCTACCGCCTGACGCAGGTCCTCACCGGACATGGAAGTTTCGGGAGGTACCTGTGTCTGATGGGGCGGGAGGAAACGCCCGGGTGTCATCACTGCGAGGACCGCCCTGAGGATACGGTGGAACACACCGTAGCGGAATGCCCTGCGTGGGCTGAGCACCGCCGTGCCCTCAGGGAAGTGATCGGCGATGGCGACCTCTCGCGTCCGGGCCTAGTGCAGGCCATGATGCGGAGCGAGGGGGACTGGGATGCCGTCTCCTCCTTTTGCGAAGCAGTCATGCTAGCTAAGGAGGAGGCGGGACGCGTGAGGCAGCGAAGCGCTGCCTCCTCGCGACCCAGCCATCGCGAAGGACACACCGGGCGTCGGGGATCGCGGGACGATCTCCGGCCACCGTAAGCGCGGGCCTGCGGACGGCGAGCATGGGTGGCTCCCCGTCCGACCAGAAACAGACCCGAGCGTACGGCGCGTCGCGTTCCGCGCGCGCCTCAAAGAGCCATCAGACCACCACAGATGGGGCCCAATAGGGCCGATGCCGATTCGGAGTCGCGGAGAACCTAACGGGTAACCGGGGCTCCGGCTCGACGTGCAGGAGAAGGAACGGGGTGGTTTTTAGTCAGTAAGAGTCTGACACTCCCTTCCGCCTCACCCAGGCGGGAGCAGTCATTCGATGATTTTCCCCCCTTAAAAAAAAAAAAAAAAAAAAAAAACATGTTATATGCTCTTATCTAACATTTATTTTATAAATAAAAAGAAATTCAAGTTCTATACAAATCCGGTTTTCGGAATTTCGTAAAGTCGTTGAACTTTTAATACTAATGACGATGACGATGACGAATCAATATTAATATTATGTTTATCAGTTATTGTGAACGATTCTTTATACTATACGAACGGGTTTCAAGTGCTTGAATAAACAATGAGAATAATTTTGTACAAGTTCATTTTATGGTAAGTAGGTACTTACTTAAATTATATTGTACCTGTACCTTTAACAGAACTTTGTCAAAAACCTTTTTAATTTTAAGATAAGTACGTACGTATTTTTTAAGGACTTATAATCATTCATTTCTTATTGCTGATAAATGCAAAATCGATTTTAAATTTCATTGACGATAAAGTATAATTTAATTTTTAATTTTGTACGTAATGCTTTTTTTATTTCAACATTTAGGTTCGATGATATCATGATATGAAAGTAATTATGTAAAATACGTCTGTCTGTATGCAATACTTTTAGCCTAAACTACTGAACCGACATTAATAAGACTTGGATACGAGGACTCATCGATTCAATGATAAATGTGACCAGTCTACTGCCACTTCAGCTTGCTAATTTATCTTTAATTTAGTAAGTAATGTCTAAATAAAATAAAGGGATATCTTACCCGCCACCACCAGCGCCCGTAAGTTTGCAGGCGAGTCCTTTAGCCCGCGCGGCGCCTCGTATCGCCTCTAGAGCAGGGTGTGACACACCCAGGGCCGACAGCAGACAGTGGTTCATGTCCCACAGTTCCTGAATCAATTGAGAATTTTATGAGAATAAATTTTAACAATACGCAAAATGTTTTTGCGCATAAACGCATGTTAGCGCAATTATTTGCGCATGTAGGTAAGGAAACAGTCAACGGATTTTTATCTTTAAAGTAAAACAATAGTTTTAAAGAATGATTAAAATTAAAATATTTCATAAAATAATTTAATTACAAGAATTTGATTTATTGTGAGGTAAACAAAGAAAAATAAATTAACAATGACCCTACCTACTTATACACGTTAATTATGCAATAAAATTTCACATACAAGCGTGAAAGTGAGCGAAACAAACAGAATTTTAAAATAAAACAAGTGCGCAAAGTAATCAATTCACAAATCTTAAACGATTGTTAATAAAAAAATCTAAATATTTAAAAATATGTTAATCGTGCAAAAAATATAAATTAAATGACTTAATTTAATGAAAAAAGTAACAATAGCGCGTAACTCAACACTTTTAGGTACGTAAAAGACGTCAAATAGATACATTTCCTTTAAAAAATGTCATAAAGGAGTACAATTCGTTTGGAAGTTAGAATGCATAGAGTAATCTCTCTTTGAATATCTATATATTTAATCGTATCCCTATTATATAGTTATATTATTGCTTGGCAACATCACGCTACTACCAAAAGGAATTGAGGATTCGTAGGAAATCTATGCTAATACTAGTTGGCCCGGCAAACTTCGTACCGTCTCCCCTTTTAAACCTTCCCTGGACTAACAAGAACATTTCTAGATCAAAATTAACCAAATCGGTTCAACGGTTCTCGAGTTTTAGTGAGACTAACAAACGGCAATTCGTTTTTATTTGTATACTAGCGGACCCGACAGACGTTGTCCTGTAATAATAGGTATAGATAAATAACCTAGAAACCGAAGCGTCAGCGGCAGCGCCATCTGCCGGGCTGATTTGTGAATCTAAACCATTCCCAGATCCCCTTGAATACACACAAAAATTTCATCAAAATCAGTCCAGTCGTTTGTGAGAAGTTCAGTGACATACACACTCACAGAAGAATTATATGTATAAAGATAGATTATATAAAGCTGGAGATTTTGTCTCAACAGGCTAATCTGCGAAACTAAGCGTTTGAATTGAATAATTATTTGTGTGTTGTATAGTCGTTTATCAAGTAAGGATATAGGCTATATAATATCATGCTACGAACAATAGAAGCCAAGTATTGGGTATTGCATAAAGTTTTATCTGCCGAAATTAGTGCTACAATTTTGCTTAAGATGACATTGATGTAGCATGTTCATCTTTATATCATCTATAAAAAAAGTAGATGACAAATCTTGTCTATTGATATATTCTATTAGACATAATAATAATAATATTTCATAGTAAATGGACGTCATCATGTAACAGTATTAGATGTGTAAATAGTAAAATAAAATATTACTCATAGTAACTAATATGACAGTAAGATCATGCAAGAAATAACTGACGTGCGTACTAAGTACGTCAGAATGCATTATTTACTTTTAGTACGTCACTTGTATGTACATATTTTTATTGAAATTTCACAATTTATTGACTTAGACATTTTTATGACATAGGTAACTCAAGGGTTTTAACATTAATATTAAATATTGAGTTTAAAAAACTTAAAGTATTACTGGGTGTATTTAAAAAAAACCTCAGTAGTAGCACGGAGTCAGGAATTGTGCCCGGTATATGGCAACAGGCTCTATTACATGGGACTCATGACATAAATAGTGAAAAGTAAGTGTTACATTGTCACATTAAGTGCCAATGTAACACTTATGAGCACCTCTGCACCCCTTCGGGGATAAAAGGCGTGATGTTAGATTATGTTAAATATTGACATTTAAGTTAATGTTGATCATAAAAAGGGTGGAGAATTTTTACGATAAATGAACAATTTTAATATCATAAATTATATCTGTATAAGCCTCGTGGGATGGTTTTAATTTTAAAATAAGATAGGGACGTATTTACATTTCATTTGCGTTATACGATATTTTATGTGCTAAGTGCCTAACATGATATTTTATGCAATTTAAGAGCTTAACTCGTTGAGTACCGTCATTATAGACACAATTAAAGAACAATAGGTTGCGGTCACCGGTGTCCTCGCGGTGTTTGACAGTTTAAGAGGTAAAATTAAATAATGGTAATTACAGCCAAGTTATTCACTATGCACTATGTAGGTAAGAAAATTTGATTGTTTCAGTAGAGAGACAGTAACAATGGGTTAGTATTAACATTAACAAACATAATCTTATACTATCATATAAAGTTGTCGAGTTTCTTTGTTTGTTTGAACGTGCTAATCTCAGAAACTACTGATCCGATTTGAATAATTCTTTTTGTGTTGGATAGTCCATTTATTGAGGAAGGCTATAAGCTATAAAACATCACGCTAAGACCAATAGGAGCCGAGCAGAGCGGGTGATACCGTGCGGGGTAGCCAGTATTTATACATATACAACAGGTTATGATCAAACAAAGCTTAGATACTTACTGCTAAATGCTGGTATTCAGCATCGTAGTCTATTTCACACTTGCCACTGGAGAGTTTTTCCAAAACCTAGAACAAATATAAGAGTAAAATTAATTTAAACCTAATATCATCGAAATAATGTCCAATTTCACTTATTCCATTCAACCAATTAAATTACAGCAAGATGAACTACTTTATTCGGCGTCAATTAGATTTAATGATTGCTTAAACAATTGAGTAGTTTGCTAGGAAGAAAATAAATCATTTTGATTTTTCAATGCAGTAAAATATTAAAAAGACATCATACTTTCATTCACTGATTTGACGATATGCTTCATATTTAATTTTTCTAGTTAATAAGAAATAAGTGTGCACTTGCCAACTAGACAATTTTCTATGAATTTTGTACGAGATTGTGCATTGTGACGTCCCGTTTTTTTAGCGTCAAACAGCATACTTATTTCTGCTAAAAAATACTAAATTATGTTGGTCATAAAATCAAAAATGTGATTATTTTTTAATATTTTATTTTATTGAACAGTCGAAATAATTTATTTTTGATTAAGGAAATTACCCAATTGCTAAGCACTGGGTTAAGTAGCCATTTAAACTGTCAAACATTGAGCGGTCACCGGTGACCGCAACCTATTGTTCTTTAATTTAATTGTGTCTATAATGACGGTACTCAACGAGTTAATGACTGAGACGTCGATAGACTATTAAGATTAAATTCAAACGAATCCATTACATATTTAGATATCAACTATTATTGAATATGTTACTAAAATTTACGATTTATATTCAATGAGTTATCTACTGCATACATTAACGTTTTGTCTATTGCAGAAATATTACGACAAAGGTTTGGCATACAAACTTAAACCTTCATAGAGAACTGTCTTGCAAAACTAGACAACAGCTTGACAAACTATACCATTCTATCTTTAATGGAATTTCAAACTTATTGTTTTGGTCACAGAGTCGATAATATGTTGAAGATTATTTGACAGTGTAGTGCAGGGTATACTTCTAATCTGTATATAGTTATGTGTGGTTAATAATGCAATACTTGGTTGCAACCTCAACATAAATCTGGTATTAGTAAAAGTTGTTATAAAAATAGCGCCACAGTAGCAAATAGCCTAATTTTAATGATAACAAAAAAATAATATGATATCTATTCATCATCTCATGACTACGAGCCCCCGCGTGGCTTGAAACCAATCGAGTTACTTCAAACAGTTACGTAAGCCACAAAACTAATTAAATTTAATATAAAAGAAGACCAACCTGCGTGGCTGTGTGTGCGACATGATCACAGGCATCAAGTATATGGTCTACGGCTGCTGTGTTCCTCTGCCTCAAAGCTGCAACCTTCACCACCAGGGCTCTGGTCTCCCTGGAGACCCTAGAGTCCACCAGCAGGACCCTCAAGTCCATCTTAATGTCTAAATGACGTGGCTTGCTACCCTTCTTGAATGATACTAGCGAACCGAATGTGCAGGTCGCGTTGTCTATACCTGTAGAAAAAAATATATGGTTAAATCTTTGCTAAGATAAATCTTATTATTAATCCGCTAATTTCGGATGAAATAAACGTGTTGATAGTGAATGAGTTTAATGTGACTTATAGAAGTACCTACTAATACTTTATATGTGAAGACTTGTCATTGGCTGTCAGACTCTCACAGAATTTCTTAATTTTTGTTTTGTTAGCTGTTAGTCTTCCAAAGTTGTTAAATAAATAAATAAACTTCGCTTTATCTGTGAATTAAATCCTAAACTCCTAAGTTATTGATTAACGTAACGCCAGTTAAATTTTCAGAAGAATAATTTTAAATATTAGGTCAATTCTTCCATACTAAAAACTGTCAACCGTCAATTTTATTCTACAGTTAAGAATGACATTGAATTGATCATTGAAAAATCGGTCCTTAATGGACACTAAAATTTATTTCTGTTACTACCAACTTTTGTTATTAAGTATATTGATTCATTAAACCTTTCATTTATGCTTATTGTTAACGTTTGTAGAGTTGTATGTCAACAATGACGCATTTCATCAATCCCTTTCTCCTTATGAGTCATTTATCTTATAGAACCTTCATTTGAGGAAACAGAATGCAATAAAAAACCTATAAAATACATATTGTATTTATTATTATCAACTAAAAGACAATCTTGACAATCTGCTCAATGATCAACTAAACAAAATATTGAATAATATTAAAAGTCAGTTTTATTTATCCGCGACAAGCTGACGGTTTCTTTACGTCAGTTTGTTCATAAACTTCCTTATCGAATTTGCAAATTCAATAACAATATCTGTTTCTAGTAAGAGAGCGGGAAATTCGCAAAACATCTGGATTTTTTGTATACACGTCCAATTACTAGGTACATGTGTGTAAACAGAACTGAGATACACTACACATCGGGCTAAACAAAACTAGTTTACTATGATCTCACTTCGTATGATCTCTCAGGACATTGGACGGTCATTTTATACTGGTTTGCATAGCTTGATGTGTTCGTGTACACACGTCATAAGCGATGAAGCTGTTGAAATATTGGAACGAAACCGACGCGAATTATACGCTTAGAGAAAAATCTCCGCTGTTTACCGAGTAACTAATAATATGCAAAGGATATTAAGTTGTTAACTTTAATGTGTTTGCTCGGTGTGCCCACACCCACGACTCAGTACCTAAGTGCTCACTTAATTTGTCAAGAAATATTGAAACATCGTAATTAACATATTTGTGTTAAAGAGATGAATGCGTAATGCTCATTCAATATAGAATTCCTCAATAAGCTAATATAAACATATAATGACGTTGGTTAAAAACCACCATCTACATACAAATAATAATAATAAAAGGGATCCGCCGTCGTAGTTATTGATTTAGTTTAAATTATACGCAACTTGGTCAATAAAAAAATGTGTGAATTCAATGTTAAGCCACGCCGTTCTCGATTTGCTTGGCAAATAAATGAATAATGTATGAAGGAGTAAATCATTTTCTTACTTAAAATTCATTCATGTTCAATGTCTAATGGACCAAATGTGAAACGAATTACACGTGGCTATTATTTACAGTTCGAGGTAACCGCTAACTACGAAATACGAGAGAAACAAACATACCAGAAAGCCCTCCAGAAAATACTTTGGGGAATACCATATTTTGACCGTTCAAACATATTGCGCGTACACGCAAGTACCGCATAAACTATTAATATGGACAAGTCAAGGGCTGCCTTGAGGTTAGACCACTTAACAAAGTTTATCTTTGTTAAACAATCCGAACCAGTTTCGCGGGAAACCGTGACCGGAAAATATCATTATGAATGATCTCTTGGTGATATTTGGGTAAACATTTGAAACTAATCGAGCAAAGGGTACACTGTGCCACAAATGATCCCATTCGAGTCAAGGTCAACTTAAAATTGTACAACATGTCGAACAACTTTTAAACGACTGCACTAAAATTGTCAATTTTTTTATTACGATCTTTACTATCCGAATAAGAATTTAACTAACAATTAAGATAATTGATAAAATTAGTGAACGACCTTCAATTCAAACCGAAAAGTCGGTGATTTTATCTACAAAAATTCAACGGAACGCGCCAATTTCTTTTCCCATGACATTAAAAAAAACAAAAGTAGACTACCACAGACTATGGAAAGACGCTCCCACATTTTGGATTCAACCAAGCACTTGTTGTACATATTGGTCACTGGCCACAAACGATGTCAAGGTCTATGTCGCTTTCTACGCACAAACGGAGGGATACCATGATCTTCAATCCACGATCTTGCCCCACTTTAATACAACTAGTTCCAATTGAGACTTGAGGGCAAAATGGCAAAATGGCGTCGATAAACAGGAATGGTGATAGGAAAGTTTTATTAAGATTTTATCGACAAATTACTATTATTTGGAACTAATGATAGACTAATATCGAAAATAACTGCGCACATTTAGATGAAATCTGGTGTGGATTAGGCAAATAGCTTGGTAAATCTTAATAGATTTAGGTACTATAGACTTACAACGGACTGAGTATAGTCGTTGGATTACGTCCGAAGCGTATATTCAGTCAAAGACTACAAACCGATTTTCTATGAGTTAATCCGATAAAAAGTTAATCTATCGTGGTCGACGCATTAACTTAATCAATGTCTTGACATTAGGATTATCAACTTAGTCAATTCGAGGAAAGAATAGATGACATTCTTTAACACGTTAAATTACCTTCAACATTTTACTATCGATCGTCAAAAATCTTCCATAATAATAATAATAAGCAGTGAAAAGAATTTGGTAAGCCGTTATCAGTCCACGATATCATCAATCACATCTTTCAAAGATCAAGGAATAAGCCCATAGCCTGACGAACAGATAATACTAAGAACACAGATAAAAGAAAGTATCTACTTATTCATGATGACCGTCCAAATTACTTGGCATTTATGTTCTCAAGGAGTTCAAATAAACTTAGGTTTTTGAGGTCAATGCAAACGTATCTATATGGCCCCTAATCTCTAGAATGTGTAGCCAAGGTGCATCATAACTGGTCAAGGTTTTCTCACATTAAATAATAAACCTTAATGCTAACAGTCATAAGTTATATAATGTTTCGACAGTAATTATGATTGATTTGAGGTCTATAGTAATTTATACGAGTCCGTTCTCCGAAGGCACGCCTTTTTAGGTCGAAAAATTCGGACGTAAACCGTATTATTGAATTGTTGAATCGATATAAAATCTAGATTTGAAAATGTGCAAACAAGATAATTATTGTTATCGTAAAAAAAGTATTAAATGATTCAAAAATACTTTTATCGCAATTAGCATTTAATTTTAAACCATGGCTGCTTTCCCTCTAACTTTTATTCTACTAATATTAAATCATGTCGACTAAGGCGGTGTTAATAGACGTTAAAGTTTACATCTTAAATCTATTATGGCTGAATATAGGTCTGGATTTTTACGAGCCAAGCGCCATCTGCTCACCGCAAATGCATTTGCTGCGAGCTGTCAGAATTTTATATCTTAACTTGACCACCACGGCACTTTAAATTTGAACATAAGCATCAATTAAAACTAAGATCCACAATCGAAAAAATACTTTCTTATTATCATTTTAATTAGCTGAACCAATATATGAAAAACACGTATCAAAATCCAGGGTCGTAGGGTCAACGATCTCAAAAACGTAAACAGATAAACAATTTCGAAATTAATGACTTCATAATGCTTATCAACGAATGAACCATGAACTTCAACATATCGTTACTATGTGGAGGAATTAAATTGTATTCTGTATACTCTACACAAAGTATCCCATACTTCGGTTGACGTCATACACTACTATGTATAAATAAAATAACTAAAACGATGAAAGTTAAAACTGTAATGTATCCAAGTTTTATTTACCAGACGTAACGATTAACACGTACGGTTTCAGACATCTTAATTTTAAATACTACACAAATTACCACAGTATATGCAAACAAAAGCATACTTTTTTTGCTAAGCGATTTTTTTATATTGAGATCGGTAAAGGTTAATGCAAGAAGTTGTGATAAAATGTATTTCGATCACTATTGTGTTCTACTGTAGATGCCAAATAGAAAAAAAACAAAGGGAATAATAATTAATGTTTGTTTGAATTCGCATAAAAAACCAGACAAGAATTTAAGTAATTAAAATCTACTTTATCAAGAGAAAAGCTAGATGGGTAAACAATAAACGAACTCACCTGAAGGTGACCCATGCATTATCCTCTCGCAGTTGTACGCCCATTCCGATATGATCTCTCTTTCATTCATACTAAAGTCTTCACTGGTCTGATCATAAAAAGCGTCGAAGCCAGTCGAGCTCTTTAATTTAAGTAGTTGGATGAGAGCGCCAGCTAAGCATACGGCAAAGGACGCTGAACTGCCAGTTCCAGCCCCAATAGTCAGTTCAGAGCCCAACGAGATCTCCATAGACTTGACTGGAAGGTTTGTACTTCCGAAGATTCCAGAAAAAACGTAGAGGAAGCTCCGTAGTGAGTTCTTCTGGTTATTTTGTAAGGCATCGAAGTTTGGTTTGATTAAATGTAGGAACTCGTCCACTCTTCTTAAGTGGCTGTCATGGTCTATTTTGTCTGGCAATCTCCAGGAGAATTTGCCTGTGATGCCGGGGGCTAGCTTCGGATGAAACAGGCTTTTGACTGTGGGTTCTAGTGGTAGAGTCTCTTCTAGTCCAACGCATGGTAAGTGGATCCTTATCGTGGGTTCCACGTGGTAATTTACTTCCTGCAAGAGAAAGATTACAATTGTTATTTTATGACTATAGTTCAAAATGTTACCTGCCTATCCACGTGTTTAAACTAAACTATGTAAGGACTTCACTTTGGGATCTTATGTCAGTAAATACCTAACCTAAAATTGTACTGCATGCCAAATTATACTGTTAATATTTCGTACATAATTTTCTAGTTTATATCTGGCTAGGCAAAAAACACTACAAATTTGAAAAATATACAAATTACCACTACTTTATTGAAATGATTTGAAAGTTAAGAAGAAAGATGTGCGATAGTAAAGTTATAAAAAACATAAACAATGACGTCACATTTCTACCTACAAACATGAAGGATGTTGAACGTCAAACGAAGTAATTATCAAAATGTGTTTTATTCTCCAGTAATTTACTGTAATAATAAAGTAATACCTAAACATTTACTTAGTTATTTTCTTCCATAAATCATAATATTTTAATATGAATAATAATCAGTTTAAATGAACACTCATTTATTTATCTAATTGCTGTCTATTTATGTAATTATAATGCCTAAATTGTTCTCGAGTATATGTAAAAAAGTATATAATATTCTGAATACATTAAATATACTACCAAGTTTTACTCAGGTAGGTATTTATTGGTTGTTTAGAAATGTTTATGCTCTACGGCTGAAGTCAAAATGTGAGGATTATATTTCATTAAAAAGTAAGTCTTGTCATACTTATTGAAATGACAAAGTATTAATGCACACAAATTGTTATAAAAACTTCGAATCTTTAGTTAAGAGCTTTATGTAATGTAATTCCTTTAGATGTCAGAATACAATTTTAAGCTATTCAGGAAACTTGTAATTTTTATTGTGGGGCTTCCTTATTTTTGTACTTAGCTATTCGTGTTGCCAAATTCGGCAAGCACTTAGCAGTGTGGCAACATTTGTAATATGTAAACACCATAAAAAGACTAGACTTCTAAAAACGGATATTTGTTTTCGTAAAATAATATTGAGTTTATTTTTCCTCAATGGTTGAAGATAACTGATAACATATAGGTATTACAAGTACCTAAAAAATCCTATTTATCGCCTAACTAAGTCTTAATAAGACACAAACTTATAAATGGCAAATCGATTTTAAAACCACAAAATTTAATTTAAAATGTACAATCCGAAAATCGAAACAGGAGCAAATATTTTTAGCGCAACCGTTTCGACTTCCTTAACATGGAACATACTATTTAAATAATTTCTATTTTTGGGGAAATGCATCTAGAGATAGCTGACTCTAGCCACATCCAAAAATAAAAGCAAAAATTAAGAAACCAAAAAATTATATGGAGAAAAGCAAAACACGTAAGTATGCACCAAATGAACTAAAGCAAAAAAGGATATGAAATTAAAACGGCATATCGACAAAAGATACTAAAGGCACGACAAATGAAAAACGGACACTGAAAAATAAATTAGCGTTAAAAATAAGTGAGTGAATGATTACCTTTATAACAATGGAGCTCCTGAGTCCAAGACTAACGGCCACAGCTGTCTTCCCGTACACTACCGAATGCTCTCCATGCAGGATCACCTTACCGGGAGCCGACACACTGACGGTGTACAAATTATCTATTCCGTTCAACATTTTTAACAAGTCTTTTTTACACGCAAGGAACTAATAAAAACAACATATATATTTTGTTCTACTTCATTATTATTTCCAAATTACATTTCAAGACTTTTGCGCGTTCCACTGTTCAACCGTGAGCGTCTTTTGCGTGAATGCGTGTATACTCTTCAATTCTTCCTGAAGTACTGTGTTCACCAATCTGTGGAGCGAATTATTATACTTTAATAAGTATAATAGATCGATTGTTATTCTAATGGGGACATTTGAACGTGTTTGTTAGAGATACTGATCTTCGTGAATACAAAATGGTATTGTCATCTTATCGTTTGGGTATTACATTTTTATGAATAGTTTTTTCGCATTTCATTGACTTTTTAACCTTTCTTTTTGTTGTTTCGTGCAGTTTTTTCAATTGTGTGTTATCAGTCAGGGGTTACGCTTTGTTAGTTCTAAAAACATTACAATTTTCAAAGGATGTGTTCTGAATTATTATGGCAACGTCTTTGTCTAACGCACAGCGATGACGTCTTGGATAGGGTTGTTTTGCATCCTCTTTGAATTTAAATTTAGCAAGATTATCTCTGAGTTTTGCGTCGATTTTTCTTAAGAAGACGGGGAAATAGGTCAAGCCATTGTTACAGGCTTTAATATTATAAAAATAACAATTCTGTAAATATATACCAAAATTCAGTATTTTGAACAAACTGACAAGATGGAAAATTTGTACAAGGATTTTTTTTAGGTTTTGTTTAACAGACTAATATTTATAACAAAACTTAACAGCATGATTACGAATAAACAGTTCGTATCACACATGCATACAATGTATCCATTTTGCTAATTCTTGGCACGAGTCCAGGGTTTTTATTGCAATTTTTGCACGCACGTAGTATGCACAATGACCTTCTGATGGTCGCATTACGGCTCAATATCGGTAACAATACGATATTGTCCGATTGTATTACTTCAAGTGACCAATCTGGGAACTCTGGGAATACCAATATCTTATTTAAATTGCAACTAGCAGGAAAATTAAGCGATAATATGCTCTGACCGTCTTCCCACGCTATATAAAATTATGCAACAGTATTACTAATTTATTTTCGGACAACACTTTTAAGTGGATTTTTGAAGGTTACGCCCACTATATGCGATACTGCTTTTGTCATCTAATACTTTCGAACACTGAGATAATGCAAGTTTTAGTCATAGGGAAATGTATATCTAATGATTATTATACAGTTACTAAATTTAAGAAACAGGCACATTCATGTGCCGAAATTCTCAGTATCATAATTTGTTTACACAATCGTTCAAAAGGGTACGACTGACTCACTGAATGATTTGATCCCGGCTGTTGGTTTTACAATCAGTGCATTGCTGGTGTTAATTTGTGTTCATGGTCTGTGCACTTCAAATCTATTGCCTTTATTTATTCCTTTGTTGTCATTTTATAGGGTCAATTTATGATCTTCTCATTTACACGTGACTTTCGCTCGTGTTCAACCGAAACGTGCTGACCTAAGATGCGCAATATAAATGCAACATTGTTCTTTATTTGTTTTGGGAATCTATTTGATTTGTTTTAATAACCTTCCTTCGACTTCCACGTGAATCGGCTCAGTGGTTGTCGAGCTTTTCGCTTAGCAACACGTTAACGATACATTTTTATTAATAAGTACTTTTTTCTTAGCGAACATTTCTGAGCAACTAGAGGAGACGCTTTGTTTGTTACTCATCATGACATTATTGGAATAAGTGCTATTACATTTGTCATAAATTTAAATTAGAAAACATGACCCCTGACTGACCACAATCTAAATATAGATTAGGTATAACGCCATGATTATAGGACAAAAGAGACTTGGACACTGAATTTATTTCGAACATTAATATTGGTGAACTTACCTATGCCTGGCAAGTAACGGCTTCCCTTGAAACTTGTCTGACACGATCAGTACAGTAAACTTCGCGCCACAGCCGTCACTATCATCCGTCACCTCCTGTGGACAAAGAGACGGTTGGTCAACATTATGTCACTAGACGGTACACGTTACATCATGGGCCGTTACACTGGACAATATGCTTGTAGACCAAGAGGGGGGAAATGAGTTAAGAAATACGTTAGGTATAGTGGCAATGCCAATAAACCTTCTTTATTATTGGGAGAAAGGATCTTATAGACCAGTGCGATTCAATAGATACTAAACTGTTCCCAATCATCAAAGCTTTCCCAAGTTGTTAGAAATACTGTTCGAGTGCTAATATTCGTTTCTACATAGCAAAGCAGACACTACTGTTTTACATTTTACAACCGTTGTCGTCTAGTGTAATTTTGCGTGCAGTTTCATTTGGCATTCTATAGACGGCGACATACCTATGTGTACACACACCAACCATTACATATTATGACTGGCGCCATGTTTATAAGCTAGAACGGCTATCTCGCATGAATGGTTCTCCTTTCATAATAAAATCTAAGAAATGCAGTACTCACAGCTTAGAAATGTAAATCAAGTTGTTTTCACACTATTATTTGTATGAGGATACTAAATAAACCGCACCTGCGTAGTATTTTAGATGTGTAACGTCCTACGCAACTGACTGGATGGGGGAACGTATTGGATTGCGAGGAAACGGGCTGAGCCCGTCACAACTTGTGAAATATTTCGATACCTGCGTCTTGTAGAGAATATCGGACCGTCCTGTCTAGTCCGCACACATGCCGTACGTGTAACCTCCATGCATTTAATGAATACAGTACCAGGCAATAAATATTGCACATCGACCTTTGGAAGATATAATGGACCAAGTCGCTGCGTATACATAGGTCTGCTCATAAAATTGTAAGCCACTAAAGTCGAGGACTCATCGAATCATAAAAAGATTGAAAGTTTTTTGTACAAATACTATATCACATAAAATTGTCTCTGTCTAAAAGTCGACGTGCCATATTTATTGCCGGGTACTGCAGACACAAATTGTGGGTACTGCACAATACTTTAACCTATTTAATTCTAACTCGATTGTTATTCTATCCACGATCGCAGTTACCATATTCGATTTTTAGGTACAAATAGTTCTAGGAAAAGCCTACAAGCAACTAAATGAATAAATGATATCATAACCCACTGTCAAAACAGGAAAGCCTTGATTGATATTGGTTGCTGTATCTAAATAGGTAGATAGTTGGACAGGATAATACGCATATCCCGCAAAAGCTGATACCTATATAATTATTATAATCTACGATTAGCGAGGTCCAAGCTTCACTAGCAGACAAACTGGAAATTATATTTTGACATTTATGGACTTTGTGTTTGAAACTTTTTGCATCACGTATCTAGCAGTTGACAGCAAAATCTGCAACGGTCACCTAGTAGTCTAGATATTGTTTGATTTATCACGCGTATAGTACACATTGGTAAGGCCCTGACATTGATTGGAGTCGAGACGAGAGAAATTGATGTAAATTGACCACAATTGCCCTGCACTCTTCCCAAGGATACAATAGTAATTGGAGCAACGTAGATCGAACTTCAAGAAGTTCTTGGGTGTCAATTACATACATTGTTTGCTTGTTTGAATTCCACTTAAAAGGGATTGCCGCTGAAAATCACGTTTTCCTTGCACGTGACGAAAATTTTAATTGAAAATCTTTCCATTGTAATAAACTTGCATCACACGTCTGTTTTACTAGTGTAAATGTAATTCGACCACTATCCAGTAATGATGAAGAGTAAATAATAATCTTAACCCGCCAAGCGCCAATCAAACATCCGTAAATAAGAATCTGTAAACATCCGCAGATGAGATACGTTCAACATCCGATAAATGATTAATTAATTATAAGTAACTAGGAAACCTGGCGAACTCCGTTTCGCCACCAGATGGCTTCGTTTTATGTAACATTTCGTTTGGTGATTAAAAGATGAAGAAAAAATTATTTTTCCTGATTTTTTCTTTTCTATAACCCTCACGGAGGCCGAGACCTTCCCAACGAATGCAAAACCGTGGGAATCGGATCGTGCGTTCTGGAGTTATAGCGTCAGGAAGGAAAACCCGACTCATAATTTCAAAGATCGAAAGATGAGTATTATACAATTCCATAACTTTAAGCACCAAGCGCAGTGTCCATTGTAAGTATAACTGGGGGACTACTATAGATAAATAAACTATAATAGGCCGTTAATGTGAAACTTTTCCAAAATTGGTTCATCAATTTGTCCATAACATGAATGATCTATACTAATATTATAAAGAGGAAAGATTTGTATTTTTGTATGTTTGTAATGAATAAACTCATAAACTACTGAACCGATTGCAATAATTTTTTCACCATTCGAAAGCTGCATTATTCAGAAGTAACATAGGCTATATAATATCACGCTAGGTCCTATAGTTGTGGAGCAGTAACCAAAAATGTTTTAAAAACGGGGGAAAAGTATCGTTTCTGAGGCCTTCCGTGGCGTGCGCTGAGCATATAGTTAAAGTTATACAAAAATGTTCTATAGATGAATTGTTTATCTTAACATTATTTTTAAAAAAGTCCGCGAGAGCATATGTCTGCCTTTTATAGTTTACCCATAACAATCGTTTTAATGAATGGTTCAATCCTTATAAAAGTTTGCTCTAGATAACTTTTGAATTGTTCAATCGGTTACCTTAAGACGCGACATCGACAACGGAGGGCAGGTCGCTAAAAAAAAACTGAGAATAAATATAAATAAAACGTAAAACTATGTAAAAAATCTTAAGTCCCCCCGTGCGAAGCCGGGACGGGCCGCTAGTATAAGATATAAAGTGGTATTATAGTCAATTATGTCAAAACCAAACTCGATTCATTCACCAATTAGATCAAAACCCCAAAACTACCAAAACAATTAGTAAGATTCAACGAATTGATTTTAAATAAGACCTGTTTTGACCTACACGTTGCCAGTCGAGTCTTTAAAATTTTAATTTCTACTTAATCAGTTCTTATCTCAATCATGGTTCAAAACCGACAACACAAC